TAGTAATCATATGACCTCTGATATACGCCTTATGACCTCTTCCACCGCATCATCTTTACCCCCTATCCTTACCGCAAATGATACCCATATGAGCATCACCCATATCTGGACATGTATCCACCTCCTCCTTATCCCCTCTGACACCTATTGTATTCCCCAATTAACCTTGAATATGATTTCAGTTGGTCAATTAGTTGATCAAAGTCTCACAGTGATCTTCTCTTCATCTGGTGCACTGGTTCAGGATGCTCAACCGGAAGGACCCTAGGGAAGGGCCGGAAGACAGGCTACTTATTTGAGCTTGAGTCACTTCAGCTCCCTCGTCCCTCTACTTCTGCTGCCACCGCCTCTACACCATCCTGCCTTCAGTGGCATCATTGTCTCAGTCATGCATCCTCCAATAAACTCAGGTATTTGATTAGTCAGGGTCTTTTGAGTTATGTCATTTTTTAGTCTTTTAATTGTGTAGATTTTTCGTTGAGGAAACAACCTGCTTTGTCATTCCCTCATAGTACTTCTGTTGTCCCACCATATCATATCATCGATATAGTCCGCACCCTTCTTTTATCTACCTCTTGTCCGGATCGTTTTTGGGGGAAAGCCACGCTTACTACTGTCTACGCTATAAATCGTCTCTCTTTCTCTGTCATGGGTAATGTCAGTCCATTTGAAAGACTATTTAATCGAGCCCCTGATTATAGTCTTTTCTGCTCTTTTGGTTGTGTCAGTTTCATCCTTCTCCCTCCTCACGAGCGCACTGTGTTAGAACCTCACGTGCGTCTGTGTTGCTTCTTGGGATACGGGGTAGAACATAAAGGTTATCGTTGTTAGGATCCTATTTTCAATAAGTTACGTATTTTTCGTCATATCAAATTATGAGAGAATACTAAGTTCTCTCCCTTGTCCCACTTTTGAGTTCCCTTTGATCGTTTGTCTCTATTCTTTATCTTGTCTTCTCCACCTCTATTTCCTTCCAACGACGCGGCTCTGTCCCCTGTTCTGACGATGTCCCGGTTGCGCTTCCTGAACCGACACTGACCCTCGAGCCTATTACTACTCCCGAATCTGATCCCTTACCACTACTAGAGCCTGAAACTACTTCGACCTCAGACCCTGATCTTGGCCCTCGCCGTTCCACTCGGGTTAGTCATCTCCTTACTCACTTACTTGATTATCATTGCTTCTCTCCCACCTTGTCCCACCATGAGGCCAGGTCCTTTCGTAAGTCGTATGCGGACCCATTGTAGCGGTAAGCTATATTTGAGGAGTTACAGGCTTTGGAGAAAACCCATACGTGGGATATGAGCTTCCTCGAGGCAAGAAACTTATCGGTTGTAAGTGGGTTTTCCGGATCAAAACACACTCTGATGGATCCATAGAGCGCTACAAGGCTCGTTTGGTAGCTAAAGGCTACACCTAGGAGTATGGTATCGACTATGAGGAGACCTTTGCTCTAGTTGCTTGTCTCACCTCCGCCCGTTGTCTTATAGCTATCGTTGCCGCTCGTCAGTGGCCCCTGCATCAGCTTGATGTCAAGAATGCGTTACTGCATGGTGATTTATCTGAGGACATCTACATGTCTCCTCCTCTTGGTTTTCTCACGTCCTCCAAGGTATGTAAACTTCGTTGTGCTCTATACGGTTTGAAACAGACACCTCGAGCTTGATTTTCAAAATTTAGTTGTGCTCTGCTCCAGCTTGGATTTACTTCCAGCTATCATGAATCTGCTTTATTCATTCGTCGCGGGTTCGATGGTGTTACTATTATATTACTTTATGTGGATGACATGATCATCACGAGAGATGATTAGCCCGGCATCTCTGAGCTATAGGATCATGTACATAGCCGCTTTGAAATGAAAAGCTTAGGGCCTCTTCGATACTTTCTCGGTCTTGAGATCTCTGACACCTCCAACGGTACTATCTCTCTCAAGTCAAGTATGCTTCCAACCTTCTGTCTAGAGCAGGTCTCATTGACTCTAAGATTGCGTCTTCGCCTCTTAGAGTATGATTGTGGCCTTACTCCGATGGATGGCGCTCCTCTTAAAGATCCTACCTTATATCATTAGCTAGTGAGAAGCCTGATATATCTGACTGTTACTCGACCTGACATTGCCTATGCTGTTCATATCGTCAGTCAGTTTATGTCCGCTCCTTGGACGACTCATTATTCTGCTGTTCTACGGATTCTCGGTACATCAAAAAGACTCTCCTCCATGGTCTTCATTATTCAGCTCGCTCGTCCTTGCTTTTAACTGAGTACTCTGATTCTGATTGGGCGGGAGATCCTACCGATCGTTGCTCGACTACTGGTTTTTGTTTTTTCCTTGGTGATTCGCTTAGTTCTTGGCGCAGCAAGAAACAGACGGTCGTCTCCCGGTCCAATGTGAAGTCCAAGTATAGAGCTTTTGCCAATACCACTTCCGAGCTTCTATGGCTTCGATGGTTACTGGCTGATCTCGGTTTGTTTCAGCCATCTGCTACTATTATTCATTGTGATAGTTAGAGTGCCATGAAGATTTCGACGAATGATGTTTTTCACGAGTGTTGAAATCGATTGTTACCTTGTACGCCATCACGTTAGCACAGCAACGTCTCCTTGTCCCCCAATCTTTCTGCTGATTAGACTGTTGATGACATCAGCAAGCCTTATTTACCCGGTCGTTTCCAGTCGTTCTTGAGCAAACTCAAACTAGTTTTCACACTCACCTTGAGTTTGAGGTGATGTTAATATATATATATTGTATATATATAATTATGTAAATGGCCGGCCCATATCAATTGTATATATATGAGGATGTAACCCTAATTTATTTTTAAGAAATCATATTATTTTGTTAATTCCAATATTATAAAAAATTTATTAACAATTGATTTGAAAAAAATGGTGGAATAAATAAATAAATAAAATAGTGACAAAATTGTTATTAATTGTTAAAATAAATATACTAAAATGGTGAGTAAATAAAGTGATTTATTATAAATAAAATGCCAATAAGTTTAACATCCATTTTCAATTAAAAAAATTTATTAATTTATTTTATAAAATATAACATCGAAATACTATTTAAATTAAAGATTAAATTATCACCCCAATTTTAAATCAAAATCAATCAAACATATACCTTTATTGAAAGATATAAATGTGTTTGTTTTGTGAGATTGTTGGAAAATGATTTTTTTATGTGAAGAAAATCTTGTAAAAAATATAAAAATAGTGAATGGTATAGTGTATTAATTTATTTTTTTTAAATGTGTAGAAAAAAAATTTTAGAAAGAGCAAAGCCTTTCTTTTGAGTATAATATAAAATAGAACAGAATAAACCCGATTATTTATAAATTTTTTGGTTTAAATTTAAACATTGAATAATACGTAGTAATTTTTAGTTTAAATCAAAATCAAAGACATTCATGCTGTCTATTTAAAGGTTATTTATTTATTTTATTTTAACTTTAATTTTAATTAAAGTATAATATTTTGTAAAATAAAATCGTACACTTTTATAAAAGATCGTAAATTAATAAAAATGTTTTAAGTAAACATACCGAAGTTTTTTAAATATTTATAAGAAGAATTTTAATGTAAATTATGTTTTAAAATAATTACTACTATAAAATAAATAGTTTCTTACTCTCAATTAAAAGCATCATTTTTAATATTTGTTTGTCATTCAAAAGGATTAATGTTTTATTTTAATAACAAATAATTTTACAGTAATATTAAAATATATTTAATTTTTATATAAATTATAAATATATTATTTTACATATAATTAAATTATGTATAAGATAAGGTACAAAAGAGCAAAAATATCAAAATAATCTTTAAATACTTCCACTGTTTAATAGTAAAATACTACTACATCTGTCTCACTCACGTTAATATTTTCTATTTTGATAATATTTCCAAAATAAAAAATAAAATAATATTTCTAAAATAAAAAATAATTAACTATATCTTATTTTATCACGCTATTAAAAAAAACAATATATATGTATATATATATATATATTTTTTTATCACATTATATAATTTCTATTATTTTACCAATTTAAATCTCTGACCAAAATCAACTTATTGCACTTTACATAAGCGGAATAAGTATTATATATATATATATGAAAAAATTGATTATTAAGTATTATTCATTAATTGATTATATATATATGAAAAAAATTCCAATGAATACTTCGAGATGAAGCAAGTAAAGGAAAAAAAAAGAAAAAATTGGCATATTTTATTTATAAAACCAACTCGAATCTTTTATTAATATTCAGCATCTATGTTTTCGGGTTGATTTGGTTATAGCTTTAAATCCGAAAGGGTCGTTATTTTTTTTAAAATAATATTTTATTAAAAAAACAACATTTTTACTAAAACATTTATACAAAATAAATAGAATTATTTCAGTTTAAATCAAAAAAGAAATAAAAATAATTTGCTCAACATATAAAGATGAATTTGATTAGATTTAAGTTTTTATTTAAATAATATTTTAATGTAGTATCTTATAAGAGAAATTAATAGATTTTTATTAAAAACCATACAAATAGAATACTTTTAATTTTAATTTGAAAAAAAAAAAAAAGCCGTAAACATTCAATGAATTATATTATAATTCTACAATATTTAATCTATAAAGTATCAAGATTAAGCATAACAAATTAATATAATACTCTCATAACAAAATATCCATTTTTCTGTCCCCTCTTAGTAACTGTACTGTCTACCTAATATTACAAATACCCTTACAAAAATATTATTATCTTTATATCACACATAAAGTTATTTTGATCATTTCTACTTTATTTTTACTAAATTCTAATATAATACTAATATTTCTAAAACTAGTACAAAAGACAAATGGATACTTATTTTTATTTCTGAGACGGAGGGAGTATAATTTTATGAATATATGAAGTATCAAAGATTTAACCATATACTACAAGTTTAAGAAAACTTAAAAATAAAGAAATAAAGAAATGAAACACACGAGGATGGAATTAATAATAATAATAATAATAATAATAATAATAATAATAATAATATAAGCAAGCAAGCAAGCAACGGGCACATTAAGGTACCACGAAAAATTCTCAAAGCTATTGAGTTGAGTAGAGTAGAGTAGCATGCAATCTACAATAGTTCCGTTCCAATAAGCAAAAGTAAAAGCAACAGATCTTTTATCTACCTACCTACCTGCCTACGTACCTACCACCTCCGGGAGAGCAGTGAGCGAGCGAGGGGAGTCAAAAGAGCCCAGCCCTACTTAAGATAGATAGATAGATTGAGTAAGAGTTGTAAGCAAGTCCAGTCATTCAATCTGCAATCTGCACAAACAAACACATCCATATAATAATACTATAATCTAATATTATGACAGTCATGGAATGGAAGTTTCAAAATATTACAGAGTGAGTGACTATATTTAAACACAACAACAATTCATCTACACTAAACACACTTACTTAGTTATTCAAAATATTTATTTTACTGGCATAATAATAATAATAATAATAATAATAATATTCAGCAATAATTAATTATTAATTACACTACAACAGTAAAGCATTCAAAGCCTAAACCAACACATACTCTCTCAATCCAAACTAAGCAAGCTACTATAATACTACTACTACTTCAACTTTAAGAAGAGGAGGTTCCTGTTCCATTAGGAAGAAGAAAAGAATGTAACCAAAAGTGGGGTGTGTATATATATATATATATATGTAAATATAACAAGCAAAAGAGTAAGAAAACATTGACAGATTCTGCTGCATGCACATATATCCAATAACAACATGAGAAATAGTAAGTAATAATAAACTACGGGAAGGGGAAGAAGACTTACAACTTGTCATCAGGCGTGAAGATAATCACACTGTTGCCCCTTTCTGCATCGCCCATTGGTATTAAAAGGACACAGAGTGTCCCGCTTCCTACCATGTCTGGGACCTCCACCTCCACCCCCGCCAAAAGATTGCTGCCTGTTCCAAGGTCTGCCTCCATTGTAGCCTCCTGGGTCTCGACCCCTTTGGCCTGAATACTGACCACCCATATGGTTTGCTTCCCCATTCCATACACCTTGGTTCCCAGCCTGACCCCACCCCTGATTTGTATTTCCTTGTGGCATTGGGCCCCCAGGATTGCCACTTGGATGGCCCCACCCGTTACCGTTACCGGGTGGAGGTCCTTGAGCTGGAGGAGGAGGCGCCGGCCCCCCTGCAGTACCCCCACCTGGCATCCCCCACCCAGGACCAGGCACTTGTCCTTGAACAGGTGGAGGACCCCAATTTTGAGTAGGAGCCCACCCAGGGTCCGGCACCATCCCTTGGACATTGGGTCCTGTATTTCCTGGTGGAGCAACCCAACCAGGCGTATTTCCGGGGGGTGCTACTTGCATGGCAGGTCCCCAATTCATGTTCATAGTTCCTGCTGGTGGATTACCCCATCCCATGTTGGGATTTGCCGGCATCGAACCCCAGCCCATATTGGGATTGTCCGGTCTCACCCCCATTGATGCTGCTGCATTGCTCCCGGCCGGCCCCATTGCCCAGGATGGATCTGGCGCTGCAGGAGAAGGATGCATACTTGGTTGACTGTTCTGAGGTCTCCAGACATCTGGTTGAGGTCCGGATGGAGTGCCCGAATTAGAGAAACTTCCGGAAGGATTTTGAACATTAGATGCATTCCAACCATAACCTTGTGGTTGTGCAGCCCAACCCTGAGTGTTGGTTTGAAGATTCTGAGCAGGCTGGACAGTAGCTTGTGGATTACCGTGCATTTGTACCATAGGAGGTTCGCCTGCCGCAGTTGATTGAGCGTGTAAAGGAACGGCAGCGTCCGACAGACTTCCTGTTTGAGGGGTGGGTACCGAACTTGAAGCAACCGCCTGTAGAACAGAGCTCAAAACCGATGCAGAAGCAGAAGAATGAATCCCCATGTTGGGAGCAATGGGAGTAGGAGACGAAAGCACTCCACCACCACCACCACCACCACTTGGTGATTGAATAGCCCCTGTGAGAACAGCCCCTGTGAGAACACCCCCTTCTACTCCTATGAAAGCATTGTTAGTCATTTTTGGAGTAGGGGAAGGCAGGTTCGGAATGTCGTTACCGAGCAGCTTTTCAGTGGGCAATTTCGGCATTTGATCTGCATTTAGTCTCTCTTTATCCCGGCGCGAGAATGTTCCAGAAGCCTTGCTAGAATCCCCAGTCAAGGCATGTGAACTTTGAATGATATTGGTAGCCAGAGGAGTATTACCAAGAGATGGCGATACTTTCGGAATTTTCCCTGCCAATGCATCAGCCAGAAGTATGGCATTGCCTTGCTTTTCCTTGGTTCTCCAGATTTTCAGGTCAGATGGGAAGTACCCTGTATTGTTCCATTTACGCAGCTGCACCATGGAGAATGGTCCTTGCACTTTTCCAGAAGGATCCTGATAATGCCACATCTTTTCTGATTCATTTATCTTAACATAATTTTCGCCAAACATGGCCACGGAAGTTGCTCCAGAGGTTACAGATGGCATGCCAGAAGACGATTCAGGCCGTGCTACAGAGTGCCTGGCCCAGTCAGCTGGCTCAGAGTTAGGAATAGAATTTATCTTGTCTAAATTGCTTGATTCGTGTCTTCCCCTGTCTCTTCCATATGTTGATGAAGTTTCAATCACTGCCTCATCATTATGTCCAGTGGTGATTGAAAAACTGTTGTTGGACAGATCTCTACTTGGTTCCCAAGTTTTGCTCACTTTTCCGGCACCACTCCATGGTTCTTTTACAGAATCATTTCGAGGGGACATTGGTACCTTTCCCCTCCTGCTAAAACTGGAACCCCGAGATCTTGTGAAAGCATCTGCATGAAACAGGATGGTTTACACCAAACAATAAATGATGACAATGAAATTGGAACTTCTCTGAAAAATAATTTTCATTTTTGTTTTTTAAATAAAAAATAAAAAATAAAAACCTTGTCTACTGTCCTCATTTTCACTGTCCTTATCTTCTGATTCATAGCTCGGATCCATCTTTGGATCTGCATGTATCTCAGGGATATCCTCCAGTCTACGCTGTCGCTCTTCAGGCTTCTTTAAAAGCTGTAATTTCTCCACACATTCTCTGAGCGTGAGGATAGGTTAAAGAAACAAATAAAAGTAGCACACAAAACTCCACACCCTATATTCACAGGTACAATTAAATGTGCATAATGAATGACAACAGAAAGTGAGTGATGATCACTGGATGCATAAAATTCTTTAACAATATTTTAAAACCAGACAGCCATTCTTCATGGAAAGATTGCTTTTGTCATTAAAAAGTAAGACTAAACTGTCGTATATATGGCAACTCATAAATATCTTCTTTTTTTTTTTTTCTATTTCTAAGAAAAATCCAGGTCTGTTCTTCAGCAAAGAAATCTGGAATGCACACAGACAAGGACACTGAATTGGAGAATGCTGATTTCACAACATTGGAAGTCATGTAACCTTTTTAAAACCAATGGAAACAGGTCAGACAATAGACTACACAGAAGACAAGGGAAACTGACAAAGTCAAAAAAGGATATTCCTTCCGACGTCCCAAATCACTAGCTCGGTCACGGAGATGACTAAGCCGCATGGTTTCAGATTCCAGCCACTGCATACCACCACAACCAATAAACACACATGATTTGAATAAAATGGTAGAAAGCACCAAAGTTTATCTAGCATCAAGCGGGTAATCAGACAACAAGGACACAAAATACAATTGATGCCAACATAAAAGAACCCCAAGGATAACATTCTCCTACATTACTAGTACAATATGAGCTATTGCCATCACCATACATGGTAGTGAGCAAGTTTCACAAAGTCTTTGGCAGGGCAAACCCTCATATTGATTTAATGTATTGAACCTTGGTCTTATTGACATTGTACCAATTTTTTACACTACTTATCTTGTCTAGTAGGTAGGACAAAACAATCCCAATACAATTGTGTCACATTGCGTAAACATGCCCTAAAAGTTCTAAATAATCTCAATCTTACATTATGTAAGGTGAGATAGTGAATTCTGAACATAAAGGTAGAACTTGAGAAAATTAAAATACCAGAAGTAGTTTGTTACAAACTAATGAATGGAATGACAGTCACAAACAAACTTTGTAAAACCATTTTACAGAGTATAGTTTAGGGTTGCCACATTCACGGTGCTACATAATATGTTCATAAAAATAGATGTCCAGGTTTAGGTGTAATAAATTCCTTCATCAAGAAATAATACTTCTAGCTAGCATGGTGAAGTCATTGATCAAAAGCTTTTAAGGATCACAGAAGAAGGCACTAGCTAACTAATGTGCGACTCATTGTCCACATTTGTCAACTTCGTGGCTCGGAAGCAGCTCTTCAAGTGTTGTATCCTCTTCAAAAGGTTTATACATGAAAATACAAATTTACTTCTGCGATAACACTTTCAAGAACTGTGAGACCACGTGAACTTAGGTATGAAGGTTTGAGAAACTCCCACTAATAATATAAAGAAGGCACATAAAGAGGGTGCGTATAGATATGTTTTGGAATTTGGAATTGTCTTTTGGAATTGTAAATAGTTGAATGGAAAATAGGTGTTGAATGATTTGAATAGAGAAATGATTTTTTATGTAACATTTTAAATGAAGAATAGGTTTTGGATGTGATGCTTTTTACAGGGGCAAATATTTGATGAATATTGTGACAAGGAAATTGAAAATGTAATTAAACAGTGCCAGAATCTCTCATATGTCACGATATTCAAGCAGATAAGAGATAATAGTGAAAAAAAAAAAAAAAAAAAATGAAAGGCCTTCTCATTAAGTACTAGTTTTTAGAAAGCCTCATCTTATCACAGTAATAGAAATGGAGCCTTACAGTACCTTATGGTAATCCACTTCAACTAGTACCAAAAAGTAACATGCAAATTGAACTTACATCATTGACTCTGGCAGCTTGTAATTCCATGGTCTTGTCAAGAATCTCACCCTACGAGGCATAAATAGTGATCAATCAGGAATCTTAATGACAAGTGATTCAATAGGTTGAATATTAAGGATATTCTAAATGAAATGAGGTCAAGATTTATAAGATAATTAATCTTGGAAGCATAAGGGTAGAAAATGCAAAATGTCCTGAAGGAAATTGATGTGAGAAAGATACGTAGTCATCAGAGAGTGAAGATTTAAGAGTTAATAACCAGTGTACGTGTTGATCTAAATATCTATACATATACGTGCAAAGTAACATTCACATGTGTATAATTACCACAGTCAATCGACTGATTAATCCACACTTGATGCTCTGGCGAAGCCGCTTGCATTCCTCCTGTAAAAAGATTAAACATAAATAAATAAACAAGAAAATAAAATTTTCTAGAGTATGAACCCAACAAGTATGTGCCTCAAACTAAGCTGATACTATTCAAAGTGCTGGGCGGGATCTCAAGTGAGAAACCCATCATAAATCTAGATATCAACATCATTGCTAGCAAATCTGCAACAAAAAGATTGAAGTAGGTTATGCTGTTATAATCCCTAGAGGAAATGATACTATTATTTCTCTAGTGAACAGTATCCACTAAATATATCTATACCTAATTGCTAATGTGTATTCATATATTTCCAATTGAATCTATGTTTATTCTCTTAGAAGCATTTCCAAATGATAGTGTTATAAGACTCTCACTATCTGAATGTAATCAAAGCTATTCATAATACCTTTTGTGTTTTTTTCAAGAAAAGGCCCAAGCTATTTACATTTACATCTATGCTGACACATCAATATAGATCCAATTATATTTAACAAGTAGACGTGTGCTACTTGGTTCAGAGACCCAGACTTTTCAAAGAAGAGATGGTGAAGAAAATAGTGAAAATGAGTTTCATTAAGATGACATGGTGCTTGTGTCATAGCCAACACTCCATTAGTTAAATTCAGTCACCTCTGAAAACTCTTGATTTGAAATTGTGTCAATGGAAATGTGTTCAGTCTTGTCTAGATTGAGTATCTCCACCATAATGTCAGTGTTTTTCTTTCCAATCTTGTATGAGTCTGGCCCTTTACTTGTGCCTGCAAAACAAATAAGAAACAAATTACACATTACAAGACCAATGTGTATTTAGCAAAGAAAACAAAAAAACATCTTGTTCTAGAAACTATTTAAAGTACAAAATTCTAATCAGTGGCAAAATGTTCATACCAACAACTTGAACTAGTCTATACAAGTCTTGCTTTGAGGTACTCCCAGAAATTCTTATTCGTACAAATGTTCCAACAACTTTATCATGAAATGATTCAATGTCTTCAAGTAAATCCTCCATCAACTTTCGTCGCAGGTAAATTAAACCAATGTTGTGCATGTCGATAGCAGCATAATCATCAAGATTAGACTGAGGCCCCCGACTGCTGCCCTTTTTGCGGTATTTACGTTTCCTATCTTTCCCATCCTTTGTCAGGGGGTCAGCATTGGCATCAACATCAACAATGTTATTTTCTGCATCAACAACACTCCCTTGAACATCATCATTCTGCTCATCCCTTGCAAGGAAGTGTGATTCGAGAAGTTTCAACATTTCAAAATGTCCAACTCGTGGCTTCCCAAACAAATTTTCAAGCCTAGCATCACATATAATTTGACTTTTCCGACGAGGATCACGTAATTTGTTTCTTTTGATATACTCAAGTAGAAGAGCTTGTACATCAAATTGAGAGAGAACAGCAGTGTCACCATCTTTCATGTGTGAAACAAACTCAAGAAGCTCTTTTGATGCCCACTCCGGGTTTTCAGCTAAAACAACAGCTTTATCCCCAGCTTCAACATTAGTACTGGTCAATTCCTCTTCTTTGCTAAGGGATTTGGATTGTTTCTTTACCCTTCTTCTTTTCGGTCGGGTAGGTTCTACATTTTCAGTTGGGTCATCCGAACAAGATCCTCCATCATTAGCATCAGCTCGCACTTCTGATGATTCTTGTTTGCTGGGGCCAGAGATGTTTGCTCCTTTGCAAGGACTCTTAGCCTCAGCAATCTCTTCTGAAGAGAGAGAGAGCTTAGCTTTTAAATCTATGAAATAATCCTTGAAGAGATACTCCCAGCTATTCTTGTCATCAAAATCTATTTCACTCTGCATTTCACCATACCAATAGGATGAGGAAGAGGCATTGAGAAGTGTCTCCCAAGGTAAAAATAAAATAAGGAAAAAATAAAGGTACAAATTGAAACACTCAGTTAAATGTCAACATGATCCAGCAGCAAGACATTAGAGACGCCAAATTAGAGGACCAGCGTGTGAAGACCAAGAAATGTAACAAAGAAGGTCTAGAGGCAAAAGTCACTAAAGATAGCAAAAATATTATGTTCCACTACAAAGCAAAAGTAAAATAACCAGTAGTCCCTGAAAAATATTCTATGCATGAAGACTACAGAAACCGTTGGTTGCTAACTAACCATTCTGTACAGTTTCCTTTTTTTAAATTTCAGAGCAGTAAAGTTACTTGAGGGAAATATGTGCTTCTTTACCACCCAAACCCCAGATTTCTACCATGTGGACTCAACTTTCTCAAAAAAAAAAAAAAAAAAAAATACACTTTTACCTTTCACAAAACATCCCATCATACATTATTTTAATACCAAACCCAAACCAAAATTTTCCAAACCCCATCAAAAGGAACAATCATGATCCGCATAGAATTGACTTTAGATGAAATAGATGCGGGAGAACTTGTAAGTCTATCATAGAGGGTATCCAAAGCAATCAAAGTAGGATAAGAGTGGATTGAATCACAGTGATTAAAGTATCTGTCAAAGAACAAAGGCTTTTAAATAGGATGCACAGTAAACCTTATATCCATCATAAACAAGTGCACCTAACATATAGCAATTTTGTCCATCACTGTCCTCAGAAGAGTAAAGTGCATGCAGGTGACATCAGACAGAACTCATCACCGCTGTCCAACTACATTTCCACCATCCATTCACATGGTTTCAGAAAATCGTTGTGACCATTAAGAGGAAAATGAACAAATCCCCTCCAGTAAAAAAACTTAATTCAAGTTAATCATATGATCACTTGTCCAGCACGATGCATGGACACACAACTCAAGTTTTCTCATGTTCAACACACCGCAATGACAGCAAATTTGTTGATTGATTGACACTATGTCCAACAACTATATAAAAATATTAATTGACACTCGATGGCAACCCTATGATGAAACTAGACAAAAAAAGACAGCTTGAGAATAACTAGGATGTGGTTCGCCTAAAAGAAATCCAAAAGGATGTACACATCAAGGAAATGTAAATTAAAACATAGAACAGTTCTTGGAACAGCTAAGTTTCTACTTCAGATGTTTAAAAAAAGAAAGTAGCAGTATCATAATTGAACTAGATAAATAAAAAAATATATCATCAGATATTATTTATCATACAAAAAGAGTGGGAGAGAGATATACATCTTTAAGTGTCTGCTCGTTTTCAATAAGCGTAACAATTCTCATGCAGGTTTCGCAAAATCCTTTATTTCCTCTGACACACGAGAATGCTTCATCTTTGCCGCAACTCTTGCACAAGGAGAAAGGACAAGTATAGCACATATACTGGGCATTCTTCCCACAACTGCTGCACAAATGCCAACCTGAAACGAGAAATGTAGCATACAGTTCGATTGATGTGGAAAATACATTATAAAATCATGGAAATATTACGTAAAGCTGTAAAGGTAACACAAAACTGGTCAAATACACAAAATCTCACTTGTTTCTTGTCCTCCAAAATTTTATTATAAATCATGTATAAGCAAAAAATACACATACAAGTATAAAACATGAAAGCATGCAATGTAACTAATGCAGGAAATGGGCAAGTAATATTTCTAAAAAAAATTCAAGCATATGTAAATATAGACTAACCTAGAAGGCATATAAGGATATGTTTCCTTGTATAATCAAGCTAAACTTGAACTAACAAAATATTTTTTACTTGCATTTTGAAATTTCACAATTGAGTTCACAGGCAATAAATGTCACTGACAGATAGACTGAAAGCACCATTGGGAAAATGAACTAACAATGTGGGGATAGTTGAATTGAGGAAAAGCTCTTTATAGGCATTAATATATAGAGTAAATATACATTTTAATTAACCTCAATACGCTAAAATTATTCAATATTGTGCTTTACATTTATTTTATTCTTTATGTTATTTGTCCACCACAAACAATGAGTTTTAAAAGACTGTTGTGTGATGCGTAGAATCTAATTGTAAATGTTCTAAATGAAGAAAAATACAAACAAATGAAATACAGCTAAATGCCAATCAGCACTAAATAAAAAAATTAGTTATAACCAACAAAGAACCCAGAAGTAGCGGGAAAATTAAGAAAGGGAAAGGGGTAATGATTCACAGTTGTAGAAATGAACCATCAAACAAGCAGATGCCGAGATCCTTTCAGACAAAGTCTCAGGTTTTCTTGGAAGAGTTTATATACATATATACATATATATATATATATATATTACTCAAATAAGGAATAGAGAGAAAAATGTTCTGCAATATGACACACAGCCACTCACAATTAATAGGACTAAGGCGCTTGCCATATTTACCAGAGTAAATGGTGGCAAGGCCACACCATCTGCACCTTACACCACAGTGCACCTTTTAGAACTATGGATGCAGTTGCTCTCTAACTTAATTGGCAAGTTTAGCATGGAAAGTACGAAAAACAGGAAATGCTTACCGCAGTTCCAGCGACCCTTAGATTTGAAAAATGCCTCATCACGATTGACACATGAAGGATGATAAGCCTTTGGACAGCCTCTGGGAAACCATAAATAACAAAATAAAACAACATGAGAAATATATGCTCACAAAAGATTATTTGATTGCGCATCTAACATTTAACTTATCATGGTTAGTTGGCATGTTCACCTTTAAGATATCAGAAAACATACCTCCGGTCACAAATCACAAGTTCGCCACCATCGAAACAAATGAAACATACATCTTCTCCAACCTTCTTCCTTGAAGGCTTTCCGGTAGCTTTGGAAGCTGAACCTTTTGAAACCTTTCCTCTTTTTCGCTTCCCTCCAGATGTCTTCCCTGAATCATTAATATCTGTTTCCATCTCCATTGCCACGTCCTGTGTACCTATCTCCTCCTCAGTGACCATTTTGTCATCTTCCTCATCTTGTGGAGCAGTCGGTGAGTCATAACTGTCCTGGCCAGGTCCATCCACATCGCTTGGTGTCTCCTCCATCTCTGTGGTTCCATCGTCGTCCCTGCCTTTATGAGCTACCACTTGGTCCATTTCAACACCCCCTTCAGCACCCACCACAGCATCTGCAGGTTGAATTCCCTCCATCAAAACACTCTTTAACTCCAATTCCTTTACAATATCCCTAGTCGAAGCTTTTTCTCCTGTTCCTGCATTCTCCAAAGTTTCCTGCACATTCACAGGTTCATCAAATTTGGACATCTCTAAGAACTCCAAGTCCTTAGACTCCAACTCCACCCCCACATCTGTTTCTTTTTTAAAGTCCCCAGCTGAAACATCTTCCTTCACTGCTGCATTCGACACCTTTTCTGGCACATTCACAGGTTCATCTAATTCTGAATCTTTCATTAACTCTGTACTCATGTCCTTGGACTCCAACTCAACTCCCACCCCTGTTGCTTCTCTGTAGTCTCCAGTTGAAGCTTCTTCCTTTACTGCTGCATCCTCTAACCTTTCCTGCAAATTCTCTTCCATATTCAAAGATACATCTAATTCAGAATCCTTCAATAACTCCACACCAATGTCCTTATCCTCCGCAATACTTTTCCCAGAATCCAAACCCTCTACACAGTCCACCACGTTATTCTCAGCATTCCTACTTAGAACATCATCACCAACAAATTGCACAGAACCACTAAATTCATTAACTTGTTCTTGTTGGCTACTATTATCTGCGCATGGATTAACTTCAGTTTCAATCTTTAAGTCTCCAGAGACTGGATCATCCTCAGTAATCATCAAATCGAGTTTTTCCTCCGCCTTATCACTTGGTCTTTCAGCTGTCACAACATCTGCATCATTAACCAAAACACCAGCCTCCTCATCGAGTTTTCCCCCCACCTCATCACTTGGTCTTTCATCTGTCGCGACATCTGAATCATTAGCCAAAACACCAGCCTTCTCATTGAGTTTTTCCCCCACCTCATCACTTGGTCTTTCAGCTGTCCCAATATCTGAATCATTAGCCAAAACACCAGCTTTCTCATTATCCATTTTGCCTGAGGTCTCTACTGTCAAACCATCCACCAACTCTCGAGCCATTCCTATCATCTCTTTAACTGACTCAACATCATCAGCACCCCTCTCAGATTTATAATCCAATGGATCCATTCCCTCGAATGCACCCCCTCTCCCGTCATTTGGCTTTTCATCACCACTCACATCTTCCTTACAATCAATTACAGCTGCTAGTTGCTCCTCAGGCTTCCCGGTAAGATGTGCACTTACTGAATCATCCTTTCTGGAATCCACTTGTGTAATTACCTGCAATTCATCCTCTCTTGTATCCATTGGAAAATCATATGACTTTTCCTCATCACCTGCATCAGTAATAACTATATCTACCTTACCATCAATTACCGTAACTATTTCTTCCTCAGGCGTCACTGTAAGATGTGGGTTGACCAAATCATCCCTTCCAGCATCCACAGCAGAATCAATCAGCAGATTGCTTGTATCACCAGCAATCATATCCAACTTGGCGTCCACCGCTGGTGTCTTCTCTTGCTCGGCTATCATATCGCGTTTTGGTTCGACTAATAATACATCCACTTGCGCAACCCTATCGCCATCTCCAATACTCTCGGCATCTTCCTCGACTTCAACTTCAGCCGACGGATCAACACTCCGCGCACCAACAATCTCGCCCCCGCCTTCCAGCGCCACGGGCTTTACAACAAATCGCGAACCCTCCTCCATCGCCGCACGGTTTTCCTCGAAACCAGCCTCCCCAGCCATCACCATACCGCCTTGCGCCGCCGTATCACCGCTTTCCATACAGACATCCACACTCGATTCAACAAATTCCTTAACCGCCACGCATTCTTCCTCGCTTTCGTTCCCTGCAACAACAATCTTCGATTTTTCCTCCTCCTCCTTCGTCCCGAGTTCATAGGGTTTATTCACGTCGGTCGAAGAATCTACGGCCTCCACCATATCCGCCACCTGATCATTATTTTCCCGTCCTTCCATGGCCTAACCCTAGATCACCCCGCCGTAACGCCTCCGCATGCGACCTCGATGAGCAAACAGGAATGGATTCACCAAATTCTTCAACAAAGGGTTTTGCTTGAGAACGCCCGACGGTTTGAGCTCTCCATCACTTCCTCTCATATATATATATATATATATAGATATATACACACGAATGTATATTATATTTTGTAAATATATATGTTTTGAGGGATTAAATTGTAGAATACGGCGAAAAAACAAAATAAAATGAAAATGAAAATCGTTTTAATAGTTCTATACCCAAAAAATAAGTTGGGCCTAAAATTTTATTAATGGTCTAAAACTCCTATTTGGTTGGGCCCAAGCCCCATATGTACATGCTTCGGCCCATGATGAATTTCAACGTGACCACCATTTCTGAAGCTGCTCGGTTGGTTTCTACTGAAGGTTTTTCCGACGCTTCGCTGCTTCTATCGCCGAGTCACGCGACCATAAGCTTTGTGTCACTGCAGGTTCATGTTGTTTGTTTTGAATTTTTTGTTTTGAAGATCGAATTCGTTTTGAGTCAGTTGATGTTCTGTATTGAAATTTAGTTTTACGGATCAGGTTTGGTGAATCTTTTACTTCTAGGGTGTATTTGTTTGAAGGATTTTGGTGATTTCCACTATTCATCCAATTTTTTTCCCCAAAAAACGTTAAATCAAACACCTATTTTTCATTTTTTATATTATACTAAAAATCAATTTTACATTTAAAACATCACATCAAACCCTATTTATATCACATCATACAACTATTCAAATTCAAAATTTTTACTATTCAAATCCCAACTCAAAATCCAAACGTTATCGTTTCTCGAAGTGTCGTTGGGGGTTCAGATCTGCGATGGCAACTCTGGGGGCTTGATGTTTGATTGGACATTGGTGAGGGAGATTATGCTTCGGATAAGCCTTGATAAGGCTTCGTTTGTTGATATTTTAATTATTTATTTAGTTATATTGGTGTACAATGAGGTTTATTGTTGGTTAGATTTCAGATATCTGATCAATTGTAGCATGTGTATGCATTTGACTAGAATTTTGGATGAGGTGCTCCGTTGTAGGTTTTAGGTAAAAAAATTTATCTGGATTTCGAATCTTTAATATTCGTGTAGCATAAATGATAGTGCTAGATTTGCATTTTGTTACCTTCTTTGATAACTTTTAGTTAATTGTCTTGGGCAGATGTGTCCTGCTCTAGTTGGTGTTGTAGTAATCATGACATGGTGTTGTGATATCTGAAAATGACATAAGCAGGTGAGAATTGTTCTGCTAAATCTAGTGCTGTTTTTTAGTGTCAATCCGAAGATATGAAAAATATGTCCTAGTGTTACTCGAAGAATGTAAAATTTATCACAATAAGTTGATGGGATGTTTTATAGGGTGGAGATTAAAGGCACGTGTAGTTGGGGTTGACATGGAGGAATGGAATGGAAAATGAAACTTTATGAGTACTACTTGAGTAGTGAAGGGATAACAAGGTGTATTCTTTTTATAAAATACAATCTAAAATGTATAATTGCTCCTAATCTGACCAAATATTCCAACTTAAGCAATTTGTGGTACTTCCTTTTGTTCATTCGTAATGGGTGTAATAGCAATCCCTAGACACGAGATTGTATGTTAATCATGAAAAGGAATCAGAAAGGATGCATATGCGGTGGCTGATATAAGCATGTGGATTGATGTGGGGATTTATATAGTTGTAAAAGATGGTGACAAATGCTGGATGTGGTTGCCGACATGTGTTTATATTATGAGATGTAATGGGGATGCTTCCTATTCTGTTATTGATGCGGTGCGATTGCTTGTTGAAAATTCTGAAAGTATTGTGGGATTGGTGTTTAATTCTTGAAGGATAGGTAAAGAAATGTGGGACTCATTGTTGTGGTCTTTGGTGTGTGGTTGTGGTGGACAGGGAGACTGTGGCAGCTGTGGTGTTGGTGATGTTTGGCATGTGGGTATTGGTTGGTTGAGATAGTATTGAGAATGAGCTTAGACAACAGAGGTCAGAGCAGAAGCAGGAGCCCAATGGATCGTAAGATACGTACTCAGCGATTTTCTTATCGTGATGCCCCATATAGGAGGGATTCAAGACGGGATTTCAGGTTATTTGGTCTTAATTCATTCATTTTCTTGTGGCTTTTCTTCATTGTTACGAGAAGTTTGGAGGATGTTGGAACTAAAAAGGATCTGGATCTGATTCTTTCTTAGCTTAGCTGCTTGTGTCCATCTTAGTCTGTGATGGAATCAATATAACCAACCATTTATATATACATATATATAATAATTGTTCTAAATTTAGCTTTTATTGATTTTATACTTTTTATTTCGTTGTACCGCAGTCTATGAGATTTGGCAATTTAGTATTTTATTTTATGGAAAGATGCTTCTTATCATTAATTTTGTTTTTCTTTCGCAGTCCAAACAATTTGTGCAAAAATTGCAAAAGGCCAGGTCATTTTGCGAGAGAATGTCCGAATGTGGCAATATGTCACAATTGTGGTCTTCCTGGGTAAGTATTTTTTGCTATTGATGATTTAAGTCGGTCATGTGTTAGAGTATTTCTAACAGCGAAAAATAAGTGTCTATTACAGTAATGATCTTTAAATCGAGAATGCGAGACTTCAAATAGCTATTATCAGCCTTTATGAGATACTTAACTTTATTATTTTGTTAGTTAGCAGCCTTTACGAGATGCTTAACTTCATTATTTTGTTAGTTTTGTGGAGTAGTAATAGTTGAATCTCAATATATATATATATATATGTTTTATTCTCTAAATCTCCTGTTATATTATTAGTTAGTTAATCTACTTTTGTTTTCTAATGGATTGTATAATACCTTATTACCTTTTTTCATAATTGTGATTTTGTTTAATTTCGTATCATCTCGAGAACTATATTATAGTCATAAATAATCTTATCTGTATGCTTGCCTACACCTGTGTTTTTATTTTTTAATTAGGCATATTGCTTCCGAATGCACAACAAAATCCCTTTGCTGGAACTGTCGAGAGCCAGGCCACATGGCTGGAAGCTGTCCAAACGAAGGCATCTGCCACACTTGCGGAAAAGCAGGACACCGTGCCCGGGACTGCATGGCTCCTCAGTTGCCTCCAGGTGATTTAAGGCTCTGCAACAACTGCTTCAAACAAGGCCATGTGTCAGCAGAGTGCACCAATGAGAAAGCTTGTAAGAACTGTAGAAAAACAGGTCACCTGGCCCGCGAGTGTCAAAACAAACCCGTGTGCAATTCGTGCAATATATCTGGACATGTCGCAAGAGACTGTCCCAAGGCCAATATCCTCGAAGACAGAAGAGGTGGTGCCCCTCAGGGCAGTACTTTTTGTGACATTGTATGCCGAAGCTGCCAGCAGATAGGTCATATGAGCCGGGACTGCATATCCACGACTATATGCCACAACTGCGGTGGAAGAGGACACCTGTCGTATGAATGCCCGTCTGGGAGATTCATGGACCACCACCGCATTCCCCGCAGGTATTAGATTATGACATTTTTATATTTCCACGGAAATTTTCTACCGCATTTTTACCCTTATACCTGTCTGACTTTTTATTGTTTGCTTGCTTCTTTATTACTAAGTAGGTTTTCAGACTTAGTTATTTATTGGGGATTTGTGTATTTTTATGTGGTATACTTCCCTCACTGTTTCTTTATAGTTAAAAGTTTGGTATGTGACTTGAAATGTGTTTATTTTCTTATGATGCGAAAATCCTGCCACTGCTACTTGAATGTTCTAGATATATTCTGGCCAAAGCTTGGAAACTAGGGCGGCAAGGGTGAAATGAGTTTTAGTTTTTTTTTTTTTTTTTTTTTTTTTTTTTTTTAATTGACATGTGAACTCGCTGCTGCTATTTTTCAAGTGCGTTCTGGGAAAATCTTCGGTTGAACTTAATTGCATGCAAATTATATTCGTCAAGGCAAGTTACTCTAAGAAATATGTTTCTAGGAAAAATCCCCGCAGGCTTCAAAGGTTTGAACTTATTACTTCACAGTCCCGAATTCACTTTACACCACTCAGTCATTTCTTATTGAATGCCCTCGGCCGAGGGCTTCGGGATTCAAGGTTTAGGGTCGATAAATTTCTTTGAGTTTATCTTCTAGTCGACTTTTAGGGCTCATTGAGATTTATTTATGTTCGTGATTTGGATTTGAAACTTTTCATAAGAGTTGTTTTGGATTAGTATATTTTGAATGAAAAATAAGTATAATTATAGCTTAGTTGAATATATAGTTTAAATAACTTTTTGTTCATTTTTATCTTTTGTTTTTACTGATCAATTAAAAAATGCCGTATAAATAGATTAAGAAAGATAATATTGTGTGTCGATAATGATAATGATAATGATAATGATAATGATAATGATAATGATAATGATAATGATAATAATAATAATAATAATAATAATAATAATAATAATAAATGTTAGCAAATGTTTTACGACACTCTAAAAAGGAAAAGCGAAATGTCATTTAGTGTTAGGGAATGTTCTTTTTTATTTTAGTTTCTGTAATAATATTTTTTTTCTTAAGATATTTTATTCAAATAAAATATTTAACTAAACTTGGAAAGTCCATACTTAGTTGTTGTAGATTGCATGGTAGTTTTTGTTTATCTATGGGCTTGGAGCAATGAAGTAGCTAGGGTAGGGATGGGGAGGGATCCTCTGCATCGCCCTCCCTAGCCCCATTTGATCATCATCCACACCCATGTATATATGCATGGGTGTTTGTGTGTGGAGCGGGTAGGGATGGAATATTATATTGTATCGATCAATATTGATATTATACTCAATTTTTTTGATATGATGAAAATATATATTAGTATTGTATCGAAAATTTCAGTATGCTGAAATTTGGTATATCAAAATTTTTGGTACAATATTGGTATATACTGTTTATATCGAAAATTTTGATTACAGTATAATATTGGTACATACTAAAAATATAATTTTAATTTCAAAAAAATTAAAACAACTAATATAGATCACCATTCTCCATTACAGAAATATTTTTAAAAAAAGTCGAATTTTTAGTTCACAAAGTAAGTTTATTACATTTAAAAGGGCTGGTCTAACCTATTGCAGCCGCCGGCAGCTGGCCACGGGCCTCGACGACAGTTCCAAAAAAAATTAATATCGGGGAGGATTGGAAATTATCTAAATTTGCAAAGTCGAGTAGGGGAGGACAGCCGGCGGCTAATGTCATCGGGGCAGGAGGTCGGACTCAGTGGAAGGCTGGAGTCGTCAAAAATTAGATTTAGGATTGTGTTGGCGGCAAGTTGTGTATTGTAGGATGAAAAGTGTATATTAGTAGTGTGCATAGTTTTTGTTTTGATATTAAAAATAAATACTAAAACATAAAATTATTATTATTATTATTATTATTATTATTATTTGTATTAATAATTAAATTTTTTATTTTAAAAAAATAAACAATTATTATTATTTATATTAATAATTAAATTATTTAATAAACAATTGAATTTTTTGAAAATTCATACTCATATCATATCGAAAATTTATATACGGTATAATAAATTGGTATTTCAGTAAATTGTCTATTGTTGGTTGCTAAAACTATTTCCAACTCACTTTTTGGCCCGGGTTTGATTCGGATGTCGAGAGGTTGTGTTCTTTTGTGGGTTTTAGGACATATTTTTACTATTCAGCTTTTTTTTTTTCTTAAAAAATATCACATTAAACAATTTATATATATATATATATATTATATTGAAGGTTTGAATCCATGACTTTATAGTCACGAGTTTACCTCACACCACCGTACTATCCCGTACGGTAGGGTACAATAATATTTTTTCTTGAAGTGGCAATGTGTAGCGACAGCAGAAAGATGCTATGGCTAAGGAGGTACTTTTTGTTGTAACTTCAAGGAGTAACGTTTGATTCAAATTTAAATGTGGCCAGGGATGGCAATAAGTTAGGTCCAGCAGGACTTGAGATACGACTCGAATAAATATTATTGTATTCGAGGTTCGAATTGGGTCCGGTTATACCAGGAACTCGAACCGGCAAACTTGTGAAATTTGTTTATAATTTTGAAATTTTAACTTAAAATTGAACTTATATCCAGATTTGAATTCGATATATATTTAAATTTATAATATATTTTATCCAAAAATATTATAATAAATAATAATAATAATAATAAATAAAAAAATATATATAGATTTGATATAATTTATATTATTAAAAAATATTTTTTTATTTTTATAATTAATATATTGTTAAAATATTAATTGGGTGCCGATCGAGGTAGGGTCTATCCTTAGACTTGAGACCCAACTTAGATTTGGTAAGGGTATACAATATTCGACCCATATCCAAACCGCTACACGAATAATTGGATATGATCCTAAATAAATAGGGCGAATCCGGGTCGGAGCTCGTGTCTACCCATTGTCATCCGACCGAGCAGTGGAGTGTGTTTTCTTATTAAAAGTTTTTTAAATTTTGAAGAGTATCATGGTCAGCGTTGAGTTTGAACATTAATTATTATAACAATATGTAATACAAATTAAGAGAAAAATGACAAAAATACCTCTATTGGTCTCTTATAATATAAATACAATAACATTTGTGGAGTAAATTATACAAATATAAGAATATTTTGAATGTTAACTACAATGACACAAGAAGGCAAATGGTGCCCTTCTTATGGCACAGAGGTAGTATTAGTTCTTTCTCACACAGAGTAATATTTGCAAAAAGAGTAATATTTGCTTTTTTGCAAATAGTTTTTTTAATATTAATATTATTATTGTTTAAGGGGATGTATTCAATTAAAATTTTGTAAAATTTTATTGGACTTTTAAAATTTGGATGTGCAGACTTTCAAAACTCTTTTGAAATATAGAAATATTCAATTTAGACTTGATAATAAAATATTACTCCTCTCAAATCCATTTTATCACATTGTTATTTCACATTAAATTTGTTAAATACACATAATAAAATTATGTTAAAATTCTAATCAATTAAAATAAATTAATATATTGAATAATAATATAACAAAACTTAAAAATATTAATAGATTAAAACAATATTATGATATAATTATTATGCATCATTAATTATATACTCCCTCCGTCCCATAACAAAGTATCCATTTTTTCATTTTAATCCGTTCCATAACAAAGTATCAATTTCTTTATTTTTTTAGTAATTGTACTAAATCAACGAAACTTATATATATAAAAATATTGAATTTGAAACAACCATATTATTTAAATCATCTTTGAATTCAAATCAACGAAACTTACAATATCAATACAAAGAATAACATATATAGAAATTATCAATTTTACGATAAATCAATAAAAAAAATTAAATTGAACAAAATAATATAAATACAATAGAATTGTATCTTTTTATATTTAACTTGTAGAAACAAATTATTTTCATTTGAATTCAAATTAAATAAAGATATACATACTTATATTTAAAAAAAAATTGATAAATATTAAATTTAATATCAATTAAACAAGTACATTGCTATCAATAAAAGCAATATAAAATATATATATATATCAATCTATAATATAATCAACTTAATTAAAAAAATATATATGCTATTAAAGAACGATCATAAATAAATTAATAAAGATTGAACAATAGTATAGAATTTTACATTTTTTATCACTAACTCTCATTTGTCTCGAGAAAAGAATAATAAAATATTTAAATATAATTTTATCATACCTACTATAAAAATAAATTTTACCCATAAATAAGCATTCCATGAAAATACAAATAAAATTATATTTTTAGCAACAAGAGTGTTTGTTTTGTGTTTTAGTTTAAAGAAATTTTTTTATGTGAGCTAAAAAGACTTGTGTTTATATTATAAAAATAATGTGGATAGTATATTGATGTTTTTTTGGAAAAATATGTTTGAAAATTTTTTGAAAAGAAATAAATAATTTTGAATAAAGAAACCTCAATAATTAGGACAAATTTTCGGAAAATTAAATTTACCAAAAAAAATGTAGTATGAAATAAAATTTGTCCATAAATATATATTACATAAAAAAAAAAACTTAAATATAGAATATGAAATAAATTTTGCACATAAATATGTAATTTTCTATAAATATATATATAAATTTACATAAATGTCTTTTTATTTTTTTTATTTAATTTTAAAAAAATATTTATTAACGTAAAATCTCAACTTACAATTTTTCAAAAATAGTGTAAAATATTTATAAAATAAAAAATCCCAAAATTATGTAAATTTTCATTTTAAAAAAAAGTACTTTTTAATAATTTTTTTGTTAATTATTATAGTTTTTCATATAAAAAAACTTATTAAATTACATTATTGTAAATTCTAAAATAGTTGTCATTGTTTTCCACAATTATTACAGTATAATTTACTAATTTTTCTTTGCAATTCTAAATAATTTTGAATTTTCAAAATATTTAGAATTAAAAATGATAGGCTCACACTATTCTCAAATATATAATATAATATATATATATACACATTAGGGCTAGAGTCAAATGATTCTCAAATATTATATATATATATATAATTATATGTGATAAGTTAAAGTATATATAATATATATTGGGTAAAATTTTCATTAAAAATTGTTAAATTTTTTCCGAAAATAAAACGTCGAATTACGGTAATTTTTCATAAAAACATTGTTATTATTATTTTTCTAAATCTAAATTCTTAAATTAATATAAATTTTCATAAATTATAAACTTACACAAATTAAAAATTATAAATTAATGTAATGTTCCATAAAAATTACTAACTTACCAAAAATATTTTTAATTCTTTTAACTATAAAAAATTATGGTGGTTGAAATTGAGAATGATAGGTATTGTGTTTTTATATAATCTGTCAAACAACAAAATCATCAACTAGAATGTCTCTAACAAAATTGAAATAAAAGGCAATATTACTTTTTGAAATCAAATTTAAGAACACAAACAAACAAAGTGAACAAAGTAACCAAACACTCCTTGTTGAAGATTATGTACAATTCATCCTCGGACTTGGCGGCGGCGGTTGGCTTCCACCGGCAACGAACAGGCAACAGCAACAGCGGCGTCTCCCTCCTCCGGCAGAGACTTTCAGCGAACTCCGGCAAATTTCTCCGGCGATTCTCTTCTTCCGGCGATTTCCAAGCGACTCGACAAATGATAGGGAAAACTATTTTGACGGCTTAGTCTACAACCTAATAACTCACACTTAAAGACTAACACAACCGCCTCCAAACAAAACCCCAAACCAACGGACTCGATCTTCGAACCCTAAACTCTAATCGACCAATTTCTCCAATAACATCACGAAGAACACCCAGATGAACAACTTACCGAAGGAATCGAACTATAGCGATTGCAATTTCGACGAAGAAGGAAAACCCCCAAACTTACCAAGAAGGTCTGCGAAGAAGATGAACCAAAGAGAGAGAAAAACTGAATGACGATACACACTGTTTCCAATGAGAAGGGAATGAAAGGGGGAGTTATAAAGTGCGGGTCAAAAACCGGGTCGGGTTAAAGAGTTTTGGGTTGCGGATTGGGCTTGGTATTGGGTTGGGCTAAAACATATCTAATAATAGGTCCACAAAATTCTAATTAATTATTAGTTGTCTTTGCTGATTTTATTATCTAATTAATTCTACCATATTCTAATTTATTGATTGTTGTGGATGAGATCGTGTGTATATATATATATATATAAATTGATAATTCAATATATATGTTAATAAAATATAATATATAAATTACAATGGTTCATTCAGCATATATTATAATTAAATTCAACACAAGCTATATTAAAATAAAATAAAAACGGACATATATATTATAGGTAATTTTCATGGTAGCTCGCTCATAACATGAAGAGGTCGAGGAGTTGTCTTAATTAATTACATTATTGGGGTTAAGAAAATTAATAATACATAGATAAAAGTGAATTAAGATAAAAAAAATATAATTTATTTATTGGTAAATTAATGGCGAAAGGTTTTAAGAATGAGATTAATCTGTGTAGCTTGTATGTGCATTAGCATCCGTTTGATCTCAGCCTTCTCCCGTTTCATTTCATTCCATTTGGATTTCCAATGCTTCTTTTCCTTCTCATCATCATCCTGTATATGTCGAAATAACTCATCGCCGTCCTCCAGCATCTGCATATCCGCCAGAGAATCGGTGTCTCTCGTCCCAGTCACCACCCGCGCTCCTGGGTGATCATAGTTGTCCTTCAGTATTATTCCACTACTCGTAGCCAATGCAGTACTCGTTGTCTTCTTCTTTTTAGAAGTTATTGTCTTTTTCTCTTTTTTCTTTTTTTTCATTATTCTTGTTGTTATTGTTGTGATGGTTCTCCTC